GCGATCCAGGAAAAAAAAAACAAACTATCCTACTAAATCAACAAAAAATAATGAAGAATTGAAAGAACTGAGAGCTGCGGAAAAAAGCAGAATCCAAGAAGAATTTAAAGTTCAGATGGGATTAAACATCGACAAACCACTTTCAATTTGCGGTAGTACAAATGACGGTAATACGTCGAGAAGGTTTTTTCGTGATTTTGAAATTACTTCAAAAATAACTGGAATCGACAAGGAGTTGCTTCGAAGAGTTAAAACTATTTTAATGGCACTGAATAGTAAACATAAAATTAATGAAAATCGATTTGGGGAATACACATCTGAAATTTCTAAATTACTTGTATCTCTGTATCCATAGAGGGAACTAACACCAACAGTACACAAAGTATTGTGTCATGGTCAAATAATAATTGAATCGAATATTCTTCCACTTGGAGAGTTAACAGAAGAAGCCCAGGAAGCGAGGAATCGAGATTTTAAGCATGTTCAACTATTCAGCTCAAGAAAATGCTCCAGGCAATCACAGAATGAAGATATTTTTAATAGTTTACTTCTATCTTCTGATCCTGTTCTTTCAACTATGCGAAAAAGATGGATTTGTTATGAAACTCTATCATCTCAAAACAAGGATGATTTAAAGGACTTATATTACCTTCTGGATATGTATACCGATATGACAGATTATTTTATAGAAAATAAGTAGTGTTAGGAATTAACTATATAAGTAGGTTGTAAGAATTAATTGTATTATGTTTAAGATAAACAGTTCAAATAAAAAAAGCTATTATACTAACTGATGATATTGTATTAAATTGTGTTTTATATTTCGGTGGGCGGGAAAGGTAATTTGTGTGGGGTGATTTAGGTGTTGTTGTGCGTGGCTCATAATAAAATTATAATTTTTTTTATTTTATATACAATATTATAATAAAATAATTAACTAAATAATTTTTAAAAATTGTCCAAATATTTTATTCAACACCAAATGTATGTTCTGTCATACTTAATACTAAAATATGAAAAAGATGAAATTAAAGGACACAGGTTTAAATGAACATATTTTTGAATGTAATTGAGATATGGGCTTGAAATTTTTTGTAAAGGGTCGAGAATTTCCATATCTAACTAAAAAATGATATTAAGGGATAAATATGGACTAAATTGTTGTAGCTATCTGCGATCCTATTAAAATTTTGATATAAATCATAGTTTTAGAAATTAAACAAATATGTAATATATGACAAAATCTTTATTTATGAACAAAACTCAATGAAATTTTCAACGCTTGTTAAATTTGTCATTTCAAATAAGAAAATTGAAAAGGTCAAAGGGCATCCCGCAATTCCCAAAAATAGGAATGAAAATCCCAAAAATGGGATTTTTTACTTTTTTGCCCATAGGGTCCACATTTCTTTCAGGGCTGGGAAAATACTTTTGGAGTAAATAGAAAACATATTGAGGTTTCCAAAACTGCTTTCAGTTTTCTGATCCCAGCTTTGGGATTTTAGAACATGTCGCCCAAAGTTGAAGTTTTGATAAAAAATAGGTCATATTCGGAAGGACGCAGTGGCAACATTTTCAAAAAATAGGACAAGTTTTTTACGCCAAAGCGTTCTGCGTAAAGATACCTTTTAGAAAACTATAAAATTGTTATATGTTCTTAATAAAAATTTTATTTTATTAATAAAAGAGTTAAGACACATTTTTGGCAAAAAAAACGCCAAAAATCTAAAATTTTTTGAATTTTTAAATTAAAAAACGTATATTTTTGGATCTGTAAACGATATTGATCTGAAATTTTTTGTATATTATTGGAAATTTTGTTGTCTAACTAACAAGAAAAAATTAAGTCCATTTGGTCCAAAATTACGCCCGGTATTCAAAAAAAGGCGGACCAAGGTATGGTAAATTTTGTATCACTAAATTTTTAAATGCCTATAACTCGGATATTATAAGAGATAAGTAGTATGTCCAAGCATGTTTTTTCAAGATCTCGTCGAGCGCTTTCACAAAATATAAAAATCTTTGTATTTGGGTGAAAAACAAAAAAATGGCACGAGTTTAAAAATTTTACATGTCGTAGGTACCCTACTTTGAGCCGCCACAGCGCCGTCCCTGGGGCATCTGCAGGGTTCATCTTCAAAACTTAAACTCGAATACTCCTTGGCTACGCTCACGCCAAATTTTATCCCGATCGGATCAGCCGTTTAGAAATGCCAGATTTATTTCCAAAAAATTTCCATTCTGCCCCACTGTGGATCAACAATCCATAGATACATACATGTATGTTAAATTTAAAAAATTTTGCTTACTTCACATATTTTAGTTTTTGTATAAATCAATTTTTTCTTGATTAATTTTGTTTAAAACAGTTTTAGGGTAATTACAAATATTTTGAATATGCAATTAATTTGGGTCAACAACCCAACTACATGGAACTGCTTACTTATTCAAATTCAAGTTTAAATTCAACGGAAATTAATGTTCCATTTTTTATTAACACACCAATAATTATTTTATATTACTCATATAAACGCAAAATACCAAAATGCTATTTATGCAAGTCATCAGTTACTAATTTCGTCACAATTTAAAAGTGCAAAAAAAAAATTGTCTCCATGCTAAAACGTATTTTTTGTATGGGCTTTTAACATAATTACATACATAAAAAATAATTTCTTCCCTTCTGCAAGTTCACAATTTTATAAAAAATATTTACATCTTCAAATTAAAATAAAAATATTTTCTTCTTCATTGAAAACAAAAACAAATATTGCTTTCCTATTTCATTAATTAAACCTTCTCACACAAATTCTAAAAAAATTCCTCCCAAATGTCTGTCATTAAAAAGTGGCCTGGAACCGCTATAAATATACTACTAAAGTATAACAAATAGTACGACTCACACATACACGAAATTATACCTCCACATTTACGGATCCTGTGTGAATTCAACACCCTGGTGAGAAATATTATTGTGTAAAAATACTTAAAATTTCTACTTACAAATTCGAATTAATAGCGGATTTTATGCGAAATCTCACCTGTCCACAGAAATAGCAAATTTTTTATAAATACTTTTAGCAAATTTTTATTTTGAGCAAACCGAAAATTTAATTTTTCTATTTAATTTTGACATTTATTTTTTGTTGTGGTAGAATTTTAATTTACAAGCAGAGTTACATTTTTTTATCGAAAATTCAAACATATAAAATTATATGAATTTTTATAAAACTCTGTATGTCTGGTGAAAATTTTAAATGTCCAAAAACATGTACATTTTTGTTACTAATACAAATTTTGAGTTAGGTACTTTTTCACTAACACATGTTTAGAGATAGGTACTGCCATATAGTAGGGATATAGGCGAAACTGAAGGGGTTGTCAAACAAAATTTGTTATTCTCTTCACACAGACGAGTTCTGAGAGAATAAAACATTCTTGAGAGAAATAAACGTACTCACAAAACTTCAAATTTTCTTCGCGAAATTGCGAGCATTTTAGCACTTAATAGTATTTCTTATCACTTAAACTTAATATTTATTATTTTTTTCCACACTTTTAATGTATTTAAAAACCCGAAAATAATTTATATTTTACGAACGAAAAAAAAAAATATTTTTTATTCTTTGACATTTCATTTTATTTAAAACTGAAAAAAGAAAAGTTGTAAATTTTCGTATTGAAAATGAAAAATGTATTTCACATACTTTTTTTCTTTTTCCATTAGTGCAGAAAAAAATAACAAAAAGACGTGTTCATAATATGTTTTAAGATGAAATATCTTCTAAAAATTAATTAACTAATATTTTCATTCACTAGTATATGAAATCCCAGTAATAACATACAAAAAATAAGTTATCAAAACTACATTTATTATTTAGTACCTTTCGAACAACTGTGTTTATTTTCGTACTTCTACTAATACATTCTCACCAGTTAGGTTTTTTACAGGGGACTTAGGTCTTTGACAATCCCTTTCGCCTATATGCTACTTTATGGGTACTGCTGTCAAAGAGTCGGACTACTTGTTATATATATAGGATTATTATAATATACGTCATGTACAAGTTCATACATTTTATGAAAATTTGGTTTGGGAGAAAAATCATGTTCGATTCATACAATTTATTACAAAATTCATTCCAGTTATGTATTATTTTTTTCTGCGTAAGAAAAATAAAAATTTATTAATTGATAAAGTACAAAAATAAAGCAAATACTAAATATTTATAGATGAAAAACTGTATTACATTTGTGTCAGAATTTTTTAATATTTTTGTATTTCTTATGCGTTATACTGAACAAATACAGAATACTAAAATTTATACAGGGCTTTAAAATACAGTACTGTTCTGTATAATACAGAACGTGTGGTCACCGTACATATAGAATGAATCTATAAAGTGTTATATATCAATGTAAACCTAATGTTGTACATATTATGTACGTTAGATAAATATAGCCAGCACAACACCGCTGAGAAAATAGGATTAAAAATATTTAAATAAAATACAAACCATATTGAATTTCGAAAAACAGACAAAAAACCATTTCGGTGAAATTATATCAGGTTTATAATGTAATAATTACAATTAATTACATTAGATAATTCTATGTAAAACTTTGAAAAACTTAAAAATTTTCCGAAAAATTAAGATTTTTGTAATAATTTTGGATTTGTATACAAAATTGTGTTATGTCATTGAAATCGTCTCCCAAAGACCTTTCTTATGATACTAAATTTGCATATGGTTTATTTGCAAGAAATATGATAAAAATAATAAAAACCTTAAAAAAATTACCTTTTTATCCTTTGATCCAGCTCACCAAATATGACGTCAGGACAAACATTTTGAGAAATGGTATCTTCAAACGAACTGAATTTTTATTTTCGGTGGGAACATCAATAACTTCTATTTTGGGGCCACCCTAATGTTTTTGATGAATGACAGACGTTTGCTTTAATTTTTTATGTATTTAAAAATGTTTCTTTCAAAAAGTTGTGTACACTAAGCCTAATTCATCTTTAACTGAAACCAAAAAATCTAACTCGCCTGCTTATTCTGGCTATTCGGTGCAAGAAGAATTAAAACACGTTTTGAGACAACGGGAACGGCGCAACGACCTTGACATCCATAAAACGTTAACAAATTATATTGATCAGAAGTCGAGTCCAACAGAAGTTGTTGCTTGGTTGAAGGCCAAAGAATTTTCAACAAATATAATCGAACGTATTAAAGGACTAAATGCTGAAGAATTATTTGCATTAAGTCGTGAACGTATTATGGAAATTTGTGACAGCAATGAAGGAAAACGTTTAGCGTCACAATTAAGTTTGCAGAAGAGTGTTTCTGGAGTAAGTTTAAGTTAATATGACTAACAATGACATAGTTATTCGAATTTATGTATTCTATGGAATGAAACCGAATTTAATAATATTTTTTGTGTGCAAAATAAATAAATAAATATGTTATATTATCTAGACAGTCCACAGGTTTCATATCACACTTTTTAAAAGTTTAAAAATTTACATTTACTTTAATTAATTAATTTTTTTTTAAAGTCCATAAAATTACCTCACAAAAGTATTCGAATTTTCCCTGTATTTCATATTTCATCATATTATACGAAACATAAAATTAGAATCAAATGGGTTTTTGCTTAAAATTGTTTAAGAGGTTACTATCAACCGAAGGGATATATTTTTGGTCCATTTGGTCCACAATTATGCGGCGATTGTAACATCTTTTTAAGTAATATCGTTAAAATGGCGGTTTTTGAAAACATTTTCATTTATTTTTCCTTTTTTTTTCCAGAGATAAATCCAAAATTTAATATTGGGATTTAATAGACCCCTTGAGGTATCTAAAAATAATATTTTTTGTTGTAAGGATCTGTACGTAAACGTTCCATGATGTATTTTTGGGATCGTTCTTCTATTTCTAATTGAATTATCTGGGTCTTAGGCCCCTTTTCGTACCACTAGGATCGATATTTTCCAGTTGGCTAGTATATATTCATGTAGATATTAGCACTAATATATTTTCAATTTCCCAGACATTGTAGCGGAATACATCTCCAAAACATGCCTTAACAAAATGTCTCTAGAGCAGATTTAAGTTTTTACTACTTATAACTTTCACGCTTATTTTGCCCATTACAATAACACTGTAAGTCCAAGACTTTGGATTTATTTTTATCATCGTGAATAATATTTAACCATATATCAATATTTTGGAGTTAGACCACAATGATATGGAGACATTCAGCCTGTAAGCCATTGGTTATAAAAAGAATCATTCTACTATATTGAATGGCGTTTCTTCGAGGCGTGTTTTGGAGTTGTATACTTCTACAATATATTGAAAACTTAAAATCTATAAAAGTTGATATCTAAAAGAATGCATACCAGACAACTTTCTCTGAAAATGTTTTACCCTAGTATTATAAAAATGGTCTTAAGTTCTAATAAGTTGAATTAGCTATAGAAGAATGATCCCATTAATATATCTTGGAACTTTCAAATACAGATTCCTGTAACAAAAAATATTTTTAGATACCCCAAGGGGTCTATTAAGTCCCAATATCGAATTTTGGTTTTATCTCTAAAAATAAGGAGAAAAAAGTACAAATATTGCCAAAAATCGCCATTTTAGTGATATTACATGAAAAGATTGTACTATCCCCGAAAATTGTGGACCAAATAGGCCAAAAATATATTCTTTTTTAAATTTTTTAAGTTTTAAAAAGTGTGATGTGAATACTAAGGATTGTCTAGATTATATAAGAATTTTTTTTATTTATTTTGCACGCAAAAAATTTTATTAAATTTGGTTTCTTTTCATAGTATACCTAAATTCGAATACTTATGAGAGACATTGTACATACACATAAGTAATTTGACAATTCTTTCTTACTTTTTAGTATAAAACTGCACGGTCAGCTGAGTTACATTCTATTCTAGCCAAAGCTCGTCCAAAATCCGAAACGAATGTTATAAACTAACATACAAATTGTTCGAATTGTAGAAAAGATAAGACTATTTTTATATGAACTTGATATCGATCTAAAATTGTGGGTATAGTATATTCGAAAACAATTTAATCAGAATGTGTAAAGCATTTATCCGTCCAAAAATGAATGTGAATTACAGTGGTGGCCATGAGGTTAGTTCGTAACTAAAAATTATTTTTTATGCGTAACACATTTCCTTTCAGGATCACGACACGTTACATTTTGTTCCGCTAATTTGTTGCAAATGTTTTTTTTTTCCAAAGTAAATTTGCCCCCAAAAATATCTGGACATAAATTTAGCACTAAATAAAAAATTATTAAAAAATTTTAAATAAAACAAAATTTAAAAAAAATAAAACAACCGGCAAAATTTATTTAATTTCACTTAAAATTTCATATTTAGTAGAACATTTGCACATTTCGATAATGTTATTCCTTCTCCTGGGCATAATCTTCCCAGAACCTAGCTTTCAGGCCTTCAATTGGTAAAATTCTTGGGGATTGATGTTGGAAGTATAAATTGAATTGTATGACTATCAAAATAGGCTCTTATGTACTTTAGTAAAAATATCACAACATAAAGGTTCGGTTAAAAAGCGTTGTTTGGTCGATAACGACCATAAATATGCTAATAGTGCAGAGATGAGCTGATTGGAAGCGAGCGGGATTGTCATGTTTGCAGTGCCCAGTATAATTTCTCAATACCAATCCAATAGAGAACATTCAAAATGATATGAAGCAACAAATAAAAGCAGAAATTGCCAAATTAAGGCCTTAAAGCTAGAATTTATGTTATGAAATTTCTAGTGGGTTTTGGTAAATATTATGTCCAAGAGAAGGAATGATATTATCAAAATGTGCAAATAATCTATAAAATATGAATTTTTAAGTGGAATTAAGTAAATTTTGCCGATTATTTTATTTTTAATATTTTAATGATTTTTTATATTTTGAGCTAAATTTATGTTCAGATATTTTTGGGAGTAAATTTAATTTACTACGAAAAAAAACTATATGCAACAAATTAGCGGAACAAAATGTAATGTGTCGATATCCTTGAAGAACATGTGTTACGCATAAAAAATAATTTGTAAAAAATGTTTAGGAAATATTTGATGTTATATATAACAAATACCAAATGTGCTAACCTCATAGCCGCCACTTTACATACATTACGCATACTCCAAGGCGAATAGACTATAAGGTGAAGTCAATTCATTTTGCGGCGAATTCATGAAATTTTTTATATATATATACAAGGCGAATTCAGATAAGGTGGTGGCAGTTCTGCAACAACAACATTTTACATGTATTTTGTTTTTGCATTTGGTTTACGTAGATGTCAAAAACCATAAGTACGGCGAATTCATTGCATGAAAATTTTTTGTAAAATGTTTATATTTTATTAAAAAATAAAGATAAAGATATTAAAATTTGTGAGGAAAATATATTCTGAATTGAATAATGTTTGTTTCAAACGAAAAATTCTATTCCGGCAGATTAATTTGCAAAATTTAAGTGAGTGCCTGAAGTTAAGTAAAACTTAATTTTTTGTGAAAAATAAACATAAACAAGTAAGAGTGCTATATTCGGCTTTGCCGAATCTTAAATACCCTCCACCTTAAACTGGTTGCGTAATTTATCAAATTTTATGGATTGATTCAAATTTACCTTAACATTTTTCACTTACTTTCATTACGCCTTACATATGCAATTAAAAACAAAACTATCACTTAACAGACTGTTAAAGAGCGTACTAAATGTAACAAATGTTAACGTATGTTATGTATTTAAAATAATTTCAATGTGTGGGAAAAATGTATGGCAATATGATCAATTTTAAAACCTATATAATTTTGTACGGGAGGTACGATAGATTTTCAATATTGTTGATCCTATGAAAAAAAAATTAAAAAAAAAAGATTTTGTTTCAATGTTGTCAAAAAATGTTATTTTTAAATTTTTATTGTTGAGCCGAATTTTTCAATATTCAATGCCAAACTACATAAGAATATAATCAAAATGTTGGCCAAAGATTATTAATTTGATCGTGTTTTACACAGACAAATGAAAAGAATTATGAATCGACAGACGGTCATACGTGGCTAAATCTAATCAGAAATCAAATGTTTTTAGTTACACTTTCTCAATGTGTACATTTTATTTGATCGTGGTTTAGCAACAATTTTTTACACAAACTGGAAAGAAAATTTCTATGTGAACATCATTAATTGCAAACAATTACGAAGCTAGATAATAGTGTAGTGGGTATGACATAGAACTGGCAACTGAGAGATCTTAAGTTCAAATCCTGTTCGTTATGGACACTTTTTATTTAATTTTTTGCGAAAAATAATACATTTTTGAGTCCCTATGGGTGGTACAAGAAATTGTGGACCGATTTCGATTTTTAACACAGTGGATCACCGTACAAAAACTATATGTCTGACAAAATTCAACAATATTTGTGCCAAATATTTTATGAATATCAATATGCGTTTAAGTGATTCTCGAAAGGGGACATTGTATGGGAACTACGACCAATTATGGACCGATCGTAAACAAATTTTACAGTATCATTTATGTATACAAAAGCAATATTTGTGCCAAATTTTGTATGAATATCTTTATTTGGTAATGAGAAATATGCGTTTAAGTGATTTTCGGAAGGGGACCTTGTATGGGAGCTATGGCCAATTACGGACCGATCGTATACAAATTTTACATTAACATTTCTGTATACAAAAGCAATATTTCTGCCTAATTAGATATGTATATCGTTATTTGGTAATGAGTTATGTGCGTTTAAGTGATTTTCGGAGGGGGACCTTATATGGGAGCAATGACCAATTATGGACCTATTCAGAAAATTAATTCTTTATATGAATTCTATTGGCATAAAACTTTCACTCGTGAAATTTTGTAAAGATATCGGCATTATAACGGAAGTTATTAACAATAAATTAATTTCCTGGAATATGTACACTTGTATGGGAGGTATATGAAATTGTGAACCGATTTTACCGATTTTCAACATAGTTGATCCTGGCACCAAGGGTTGTATTTCTGGCAAAATTCATCAATTTATCTGCAATAGTTTTTGTAAAAAGTACAATTAAATATGTGAAAAAACACAATTTTTTCGAGGTTGTCCCAAATTTTTACTCATATCTCAGAACCTATTCTACCGATCTCGCTGATTTTCAATACCAAACTGCTTAGGATAACATTTGCTTCGTTTTACCGTGAGCGTGTTTTATACAGACAGACAGACGAACATATCTAAATCGACTCAGAATTTCATAAGGACCAATAATATATATACTTTGTTGGGTCTCAGATGAATATTTCTTTGTGTTACAAACGGAATGACAAACTTATATATACCCTCTATCACCACTGGTGGTGGTGGAGGGTATAAAAAGTACATATTCATGAAAATATTATATTACGAATGAATGAATATTTGTTGCGAATGGATAATTCTACTCCGGCGGAGTAATTTTCAATATTTGGTCATAATGTAGCAGCCGCCGGACGGGTAAATACCTCATATGGTAGAAGTCAGCTGCCGCCAGCCGGGTAAGTACTTCATATGCGTTTCTTAATATTAAGTGTTCCGGAAGAGATTTTTTTAGTTAATGACGTTATCTACACAATTTTAATATAAAATATAAAACAATATTGTGGAATATGTTAACATTTAATAGAAAAAAATATTTTTCTTAAATAACATATTTGTATACATACCAATTATGCCATTATTTAAATAAAATGATATTTGTTTACGAGATGCTTGGTATTTTCAGATTTTTTACATAAATAATTCAAAATATTAACGAAGTTTTTCTCCGTTTAACGGACATTTTTAAATATAAAAATGTAAACAATAACAAACTTTGACAGCTACGTAAACCAGGCGAATTAAGAAAAAAATTATCAGCTGATTGAATAACACCACCTTATATGAATTCGCCTTGTATATGTAGTTTGACAGCGTCAGGTTTGAAAGAAAAATTTTTTTATATGGAGTTTGACAACTTCGGGCTAAATTTCCATGAACAAAAAAACAATCAGCTGTTGAAATTACATCACCTTATTAGTTTCGCCATGGCATATTCGAACATACATATCATGGCGAAACTAATAAGGTGAAGTCATTTCAACAGCTTAATATATACATATGCCAAGGCGAATTCAGATAAGGTGGTGGCAGTTCGGCAACAACAAAATTTTCCATGCAATTTGTTTTTGCATTTGGTACGCACTGATGTCAAAAACAATAATTGCGGCGAATTCATTTAATGAAAATATTTTGTAAAATTTTTATATTTTATAAAAAATACACATAAAAATATTAAAAAAAAATATTAAAGATAGTACACCCTAAGTGGAAAAATGTTTGTTCCAAATGAAAAATTCTACTCCGGCAGTTTAATTTTGCAAAACTTAAGTTTGTGACCAAAATTATGTAAAATTAATATTTTTGGAAAAAATAAATATGGAAAAATTATATACCGAATGAAAGAATCTTTGTTGTAAATGAAAAATTTTACTCCGGCGAAGTAATTTTTATGATTTACACGTTGTAGTCAGCTGCCGCCGGAAGGGTAAATACCTCATATGGATTTTGTTATAAAAAGATTTCGGGAACAGAATTTTGTTAGTTTATCACATTATATACACAGTGCAAATATAAAACAATTTATTAATTTTTATACCCTACACCACTTTAGTGGGGAAGGTATGTATATTGGATTTGTGCAGATGTTTGTAACATACAAAAATATTCGTCCTAGGCCCACCTTAAAGTATACCAATCGGCTTAGAATCATTTTCTGAGTCGATTAAGCTATGTCCGTCCGTCTGGCTGGCTGGCTGTCCATGCAAACCTTGTGCGCAAGGTACAGGTCGCAATTTTCAAGATAATTGGATGAAATTTGGCACGCACGTTTTATTTGAAGGACGAAGCTTATTGAAAATGGTTAAAATCGGTCCATTATTTCACCTAGCCCCCATAGAACAAAACCCCCCGAAAAGGGCTTCTGAGCTCATAATTATGTTAAATATACAGATATATCGATAAAATACGGCACAACTAAGTTTTATAGAAGTCTTGATGACCCTGCCAAATTTCATAAAGATCGGGCCCCATTTGACCCTAGCTCCCATACAAAGTCCCCTTCAGAAAATTACTTGAATGTCCCAAATTAACTTATAAACACATATATCGCGATGAAATTCAGCACAATAAAATATTATGTATAAATATAAAATATAAAA